AAAAGATAAACAAGGTGATGTGACAGAGGATAACTGGGAGAGGCAAACTTCAGAGCAGGTGGTCAGGTAAGGCCAGAGGAATAGCTTTGCAGGAAGAAAGAAGAGCAATGCAAAGGCCCTGAGGCCTGAGAGGCAGGCAGGAGTCTGACAAGTGTAAGGAAGGGAAAGCAGGCCAGAGTGCTGGATACAAGATGGCATCAGATGAGTTTGTAAGGCAGGCAGGGGTTGGAATGTATAGGATCTTGAAAGTTCTGGTAAGAAATCTAGATTTTATTAACAGTTCATGGAAGATCCATTGAAATATTTTAAGCAACAGAATGACACGACCCAATTTATATTTTGAAAAAATTGCTCCTGTAAGCCTTGAGGAGATAGGGTGGTTAGAGAACAAGAACAGAGGCAGAGAGAAATATATCACTTCTCATTTGTCATAGTCAAAGAGGTATGTTTCAGGACCTACCATGCATACACGCATACACACACACATGCACACAACCCCCACAGGCTGGTGAAGACAAATTGACTCTTCCATTAGTATGAAATTTTTACATTCAATTATGTTTATTTATATATGTGTTAACTAATGCATGTGAGCACTCTGGAATTTTTGCAGTGAATTATGTTTATATATATATATATATAACACTTAGGGTCAAGACTCTAGAGTATTCAAGTTTGTAACTACATTGTTTAAGCATGGTGCTTGGTATATAGAGAGAGTTTGTGTAGGGGGGGAGTGGGGTATTATGAGGGATGTTGAGGTTTTGAGCTGTTTGGGTCAGCACCGTAAACCACCCAAGTACCATCAAATATGTGAAAAGTGAAGAAAAGCTGCTGAAAGTGGGTGCTCCTCACGGGCTCCCTTGTCTCTGCTTCAGGAACCTTCTCTGAACTTTGGTGTAACTTCTTGTGCTATACTGGAGATGGGAGTTCAAAGACCTTCACCTTGAGGCCACTGACCCTCAGGAAACTGGGGAAACATCCCTCCCTTTACCAAAGACGTGGGGAGACTGAAGGAGACTTCATTTTTTTATACTGATCAGATCACATTTAATAATGGAAAATTGAGAAAAATGAAGTAATCAACACACTTAAAATTTGATGTTTCATCATTGAGAAACCCCTCAGTAAGGTAAAACTGGAGAAGTGACCATCTTTTTTCAACAACTATTGCCATTCGTTGCTCCACAACCACACCACCACCAAGTCAACGTCAACCATGTGCAAAGCATGTCAGATATTGATATGTAGCCATGTCAATATCTGAGCTTCAGTATATTAGCATTATTAGTTTTTAAAAACAGACATTTTAGATACTCTTCAATCATTTTACTTATCAGAAATTCAAAATTCTTATTTTAAGGCAAACTAAATTTCACAACCAACAACATTTGAGTTTGTGCTAAAATCAATTTTATAGGGTTTACCATGAGAAGCAGTGAAGCAAATTTCTCATAATCTGCATAGACAGAAATAGCTAAATTAATCTATGTCATCATTGGGGCCATCCAGGAGATATAAATAAAGGCAAATATGGAAAATACACTGAGTGCATAAAATACACAATTAGCATGAGGTCAAAACAGTACTAGCTAGTCTTTTCACACACACACAGAAAATATTTTATACATTATAATTAATTTTCTTATAGGAATTGGATGAGCTGTCATTCTAAAGTGACATAACTCATCACAGTTCTAGGAGTCATATCTTACTGCTACATGCATATCCCTTCTTAATTTTGACTATTTCATAAAAATGCTTTTTTGGTCTTTATTTCAGAATGGGTTGACTATCAGTCTTCTTCTCACTCAGATGTTCTGGTAACTCTCTATGCCATCTGATAGTTTATAAGCTAGTTGGGGTAAAAGGTAACATCTAGAAGGCAAAATTACAAAGACATAAGGCAACCAAAGAGAAAAGTTAAACTAATATGTCTCAGAAATAGTGGGGAATTTGGGGATGAAGGGAAAGCACAGGAGAGAGGCGAGAGCAATAATAAAGGGCTGAACAACATGGCAGAGTGGCCACATGATTTTTAAGAATAAGGATATATAGACAAGTTATACTTATGTTGTTTGCATTTTCATTATGCAAATGTTCTTCCTTTTAGAACCCATTGTCCAATCCTCCACAAAGGCTTCAACCCACCAATAAACCCTGTGTGATTGGATATTTCTGTTTGTGTATGCATGGAAATTAAGAAGAGGGGCTGGGTTCCACTTTGGTCTGAACCAGAGCAGAGTAGCAGAGCAGACAGTAGGAATTCATAACCATAGGTTACCATCAGAATATAAGCTCCCCTAAAAGTCATAACATGCTTAGAAAGAGCACAAGACTTTTTCCCTAGGGTATGGAGTTATGGGGAAGGGTGGTTCAAACTTACCTAGCCTTTAGAAAGCATAGCATCCCAGGACCTTGGAATATATTTGTAAATAGAAGTTTTGAGTAATAAAAGATTAGAAAATACAAAACAATAAAGTTTTCAGAGGTAAGCTTGAGTTCCCACTTGCCCTTAAAAATATAGCTCATAAGGATCCCTCTGAAAAGAAGCATAAGCTATATCGTAAGCTACGGAACTTTTGGTTCCAGCCATAATGACATAGCTTATATTGAACTAACTTTCCAGTAAAAACCAATTATAAAGCAGAACAAAATACATAAACTGTTTGAAAGCATTGGAGAGTGAGTGACTCACGTAAGACATGAAGGGCTGTGATCCCGGAGAAAAGGGAAGCACACCAGTGTGAGCCCCACATTTACCCACATGTGTTCCTGAGGGAGTTTTCTATTTCATTGTGAGATGGAATGGAGCAGACTAGAAAGGAGCAAGCTTCCTGGCTTAGGAGACAGAGGATGAAGTTCAGGTGTACCGAAAAATGGGGGATTTGAGAGGTAAAATCCCAGAGAGGAGGTAACAGCATTAAAGTGGCCCCTGAGGCATTAGCCAGCTCCTCACGGGAGCACACACAGGGAGTGCTCCAAGGTCGCAGAGGAAGACAGCAACTGGGAGGCTAAATGGAGGAGCAGCGATTTCAGCATCATGTGGTGCTGAGGAGACGGAGGCTGGAGCTCCAGCCCCGCCAGAGAGGAGGGGCCTTGGTAAAGATCCAGGGCTTTTACCTGAAATCCCAGAAAAAACATGTGTTAGGACTGAGGGCTACACCCCCAGAGTAGGAGCAGAACTGAGATAGATCAGCCTGATAAAGCCTAAGGGGAACTATGGACAGGATGAAATGATTTGCTCGTCATCTCTCTGCCTGCCAAACCAAACCTTATCCTATTTGGACGAAAATAATATGAACAATTTTTCATAGCAACATCTAGATTTAAAGAAAATTATGACATCTGCTAAAAAAAGGGACCAAATGGCCAAAAGAAAAAAGAGAGAGAAATAACAGATAATGAAAACAGTCCCAGAGGTAATTCAGATATTGGAATTTTAAAATCACTATGATTAATGTTCCAGCAAATAGAAAAAAAGGATAAAAAATTTGATCAAAGATAAAGATCTTTGAAAAGTAATCAAATAAAAAGAAAGCAGGGGTTGAAAACCAATATTTTCCACTTTTCCATGCTGGGGAATGTTGGCTATTTCTTTCTCTTCGCTCATTTCTTTTTTCCTTTTTGGTTGCTTCCACCTTCTAACTCACCTCCACTCTTCAAAAATAGTTGTCACATGAGGCTGTCATGGAGAGCACAAAAGACACTGGTAGTTTTAAAATTCGATCTATTGAATGGAAAGATATGAAAAGTGCCTTCAAGAGGAAGAGACAACATAACTAATAGAAAGTGTACAGATTTTTAAATGACAAATACCTGTGCTCATACTCTGTCCTTGCTGCCTACAAGTTTGTGTGATGACATACAAATTACTTAACTATTGTGAATCTTTTTTCTTATCCAAAAAAATTGATGGATACTTACCTTAAAAAGTCATTTTAAGCACCAAATGAGATGCTTTATATAGGCAGAGTGCTTAGCTCAAATAGGTTCCCAAGAAATATTGATACCCCCTTTGTTGTTTGCACACATTCGAAACTGGTAAGCTTGAACTTCAGAATGGCGTACCATCTATGTATTGACGTCATTAGATATTCCCAACCAAGATGAAATAATACAAAATTTAGATTCTTTCTCTACCTTTCAAAATGGAGAATATTAATGACTAACAAAATGTCTGCACAATATGGGTTAGTCAAAACAATTGCTTGTTAAACCCTCAGGACAAAATTGAGTATGGCAAATATCTGGGATAGAGTTCAAGACAGCAGATCAAGGCTTTTGTTGTTACAGAATGCTATGCATGCTCTGGCTTGCCTTTCAACAATCATTCCTATTAAATCATTTGTCTCTCTGACACATCTAATGAAGTCATGTTCACGATCAACTTAATCACAGGACGCAGTATTGTACATATTTTGACAGGAAAGCTGTTTGTATAAACTGAAACATGCAGCAAATATATAATTTCATAAAATGTTCATTATGCTTTCAGTGTGATAATCTTTGGCTTGAATCCTTTTATGCGTATTTAAAGTCATTTTAAGATAGACTGTTTTGGGTACTGGTTAACTGCTTTAGATTGTTCTAAAGCAAAATCCATATCAAGCAAGTGGTGTAGTAAACAATTACAAACACAGCAAACTCTGAACCATATATTCCATCTGGAAATTTTTAAATTCTGGAGATATCCCACTTCTCTAGCTAATATTATATGTCATTGAAATAGATTCTAGTTATAAGCACATGGAAATAAACAAGAAAGACAATGAGTTAAGAGAAGTCATCCACACATAACACTTTCCTAGAATGTTGATAATAAACTCCAGGTTTGACTTGTAGCTAATTATTTAACTGCTCAAGGAGTGGTTGAATAGTCATACCTTTTATACTCAAAGACTTTTTAAAGTGAGTTCATGACATGTTCCTTTACTGTTATAAATGATCTCCAGGCCCCATGTTATTAGGTCTCAGCACTAATTAGAAGTGAGACTTACATCACTCTCATGACCTTCTCGAAGGTTGTACGTGAGGTCATGCTGAATGTCTTCCATGAATTTGTGAGCGTATTCTGGGTAAAGGTCTAGCACTTCAAAGAGTCCTTTGAGGATGATGCACTGGAGATCACAGTAGGTTAAAGCCTTCACATCTGCATTGGTCTTGATCACTTGGTCCTTAATTGATAGATTTGCTCCAATTAAATCCCCTTTCCCTTAAAACAGTGAAAAAAGAGACATGTCACTTTAAAGAAAAGCAAGCTTAGGACTGAAAACTTCATTTGACTCACAGGCTTCACTTCTCTGAGGTTACACTGAAAAGAGAAGAGGGACCTTTTTCTGGGGCATGGTTTCTCAATCTCAGCAGTGTTGAGATTTGGGGCTCAATAATTCTTTGTTCTGTACATAATAGAATGTTTAGCAGCCTCTCACATCCCCCATTCCCAGTGATGACAACCAAAAAATATCTTCAGACATTGCCAAATGTCCGCTGGTGGGCAAAACTGTTCCCAGTTGAGAATACTTGTCTAGGGGAGAAAAAGTAGGAGACCCAGAGTTAGGAACTGTAAGTCATAGATGGGCTCCAGACAGGTCCCTCACAGGATTCAGTAAATGACTTTAGACAAACCAGTTGACATTTTTGTCACAGTTGTCTTAACTGTTCAAGAGAAATAACAAAGGCTCAGATTTTTCTGAGTGTAAAAGAGGCTCTATAAAAGACAATCAAGACTTGTATTAATAATTTTGATTCTAGCACTTTGGACAGTAATGTAAGCTTCATCATCAGCTTTCAAACACACTCGGGTTGTTTTGTTTATCTCTGAACATGTCTACAACACAGAAGGGTGATGTGGGAGGAGGTGTTCTCCATCCTTCATCTCAGGATTGGGAGGCAGAGATAACCACTGGACATTACGGACAGTGAGATCTACTACATACAAATGTAAAACACAAGTCATAGTTCTAATGCTCTGCAACAGTGTAAAAACCTCATTTTCTTTATCAAAAAAGAAAGTGAAAAAATAAAATGAGCTTTTCACTTGTGCCCCTGCAGAGAGAGAGATTACCACTGCTTTATCTAAGTCATCAACGCCCCGCCCCACACCCAGTACCGCCTGATATTTTGCCTGCAATGCCTCAGCCTATCAGTGGTAGGATGGATTCACCCACCAGGCAACTAGCTTGCTTCCTCCAGTTAGCTGATTAGATAATATTGCGCAATTTATTTGAATCTTTTAAATCTTTAAATTGATTTGAATCAGTTAAATTTAGCAGGAAGGTGAGCATAAGCGTTAAGAGCTAACGAAAAGCTGATTACAGCTTTAGATTTATTTTAGACACAGTCATTAATTCACTCAGCATCCATGTGAGAAATATGAAAGAAAATTCATTCAATTCTCAGATAAACTTAGATTGAAAGCTGAAGTAATATAACCAAGTTCACAGAGGACACTGGCATGAGATTCACGGCTACAACTCAGGAGTTTCTGAGTCTTTGCTTTGTCCTCAAATAGCATCATGCCTGGCTGTAACTTTTACTTTTTCTAATGGCCCCTTTGCTCCATTTCATAGGAACCAACAACAAACAATTGACCAACAAAAAAACCATCAAGTAAATAATATCTTTGGAATGTTATAGAACAAACTGCCTCTGTCCCCCATTCAATTAATTTTTTAACTTCTAAATTTTTGTTTTTTATTGTGCCCAGCATTTCTGGAAGCAAAGTCTCTGGCATGTATCAGATTTCAATAAAAGTCTGTTTTATTGAATTCGACCAGTAAAAGAAAATATGCCAAACTGACCGTGAATATGTGAGATATTGATAAATTTTTATGGCAGAACAAAAATTGAGCATTTTTAAATTATTCAATTGTATCTACGTATTATCTTTGAATTAATATTGGATTTAAACCTTGACATTGAGTCTATTTGGTAGAAGAAAAAAAAAAAGACTAAAATCTATACTTAAGGACACTAAGGGAATAAACCAGTCATGTGGTGCTGATGAACTGAAGTTTGATTTGTTTGTTGTCATCAACACTGCTAAACTTGGAAATTTTATTTCTTGCCTGTTTTGTCAGAAATCTAAATTGCTGCTCAAAAATTCAAAGTTGGGTACTGGTGCAAGATATAAATATAGCCTGGATGACTTGAATACAGCAAATTTTCAAATTTTGTACATCTGAGAAGAATTTATCATGATGCAGTGTCTTGCCACAGTGAGCATTCACATTTTCTTAAGCAACTGGTGCTTAGAATAACTTTAGAGCCATCTTCATACCTTGGGTGGCCATGGCTATATTGGCCACAACGACCCAGTATAAAAATAGCACCAACATCTTGCCAATCTTGGCACCCTGGAGAGAGTTCCAGTTTATTCATTCATTCAATGAACATTTATGGAGCACTGACATGTGTTCCAGACCTTGTGCTGAGTACTGGAAAGCAAACACTGGTACATAACAACATGGTTCTCACTCTCATTGGTTTTACGGTTTTGTAGATTGCTCACTATCTAGATTTAGGACCTAGATCTAAGTTCCTTGATTACTCTGGATTTCAGTATCCTTATTTCTAAAAGAAGAGAAAGATATCTATGGTCCCTTATAGTCTCCATTATTCAGAATTCTCTTACTGATATTTGCTAATCAGTTATTCTTCCATCGGGCAAAAAAAAAAAAGTTGATGGGATGCATCTGCAAACCATTGGGTTAGAGCTATATGTTTATGTTTGATCAGAATTAAGCAGACTAATGCCATCTGTGAACAGTACATTTATCGGTGCTTTGTTGTTTAAACAACAATGAAGAAATTGGCGGGAAAACACAATTATCGGGACATGAAATGAAAGTATACGAGGCAAACAAATTCTATTCCCATGACAAATCGCTGCCTCTATGTCAACTGTCTCGCCAGGCATCAGATTAAGAAATGCCTTCATGTATTTACTGGACAATAGAACTGCCTGAATAAGTTATGGCTTGACAGCTGTTTGGTGATGTTTCTTCCTTACAGCATTATAGATTAATGCATTTTGTTGGCAGAGCGAACATGTATTAAATATCTACAGACCAAATGTGAAGCCACGTGCTTAAGTTTATCAAAGTCAGTATTGATTTGAATTGGCCCTATAAGATAATATTACCAAAGACAAAGTAAAATAGTCAATCTCCATTGAAATAATGTTAACCACAGAGAGAAAATGTTAATAATTTATTATCTTTGTTTGGGTTTAGTCCCAATACCACGTACTCGTGTTTAGAATGGTCAAGTGGCAATTTACACTTAAATCACTTTTGATAGATACACAGTAGAAGCAAAGATGTGAAAATGTTAATCATGGAAATCACAATTTATGGAAGAAATTGGGCAGGAGCAAAATGCAATGGCTTAAATCCTTCAGCTGTTAGTTGAATTTTTTTTCAAACAAAATAATCCAATTGAACAGTGTATTGCAAACAATGGTATTTACATAGAAGCCATGAAATTTGCACCCATTGTTCTCTAATGTTATGGATGATGCCTTTGTATTCCATTCCTAGAATTGTTGCTAGTTATCAAATTTAAAAATTCACCACAATTATGGAAAAAAATCCACATTACAAAAGTTTAAAAATGGTGCATTATTTTTGCTTGCATATATATCAAACCATAAGGTTCTGGAAAATAACTATCTGCCCTGTTAAATAGGCAGGCTATAAAACTTACAGTGATACTAAGGAAACTCAAGGAAAAGTATTTCATGATTAAAATTAAGTATTTGAAGCAAATTTAGAAATAATTGTCACTTTTAATTTAGAATCAGAAAATGATAGAATGACTGGCCTTTAACTTCACTAAGTTGAGAAATGGGCAGGAAGAGTGTTCAATTCTCTTCAAAAACACTCACACAGAGAGCCTCACCCTAACACTGATAATGAACTGGACAAGCTGATGATAAACTCTTAGTTGCTATTCCACGCCTTTCTATTCAGGAGAAAAACGTAAGAGAGTGAGTCAAGAATTGAGCCAAAACTTTGAAAGCCACGCCTTACCTTTCCTCTGGTAAGTGGTAAAGCGAAGTCAACGTGAAACAATGAAAAGCACATGAGTATTTCGCCATTCACTAGCCTCCATCTCTTCACCCTTAATTGGGGATAACCACACCAACCTAATAGGGTTGCAAGGTTTAAATTGGATAATGGACGTAAAACACCTGGCTCATATTAGGGATTCAATAAATATTAGTTCTCTCTTCCAAAATATAATCTGTCTTGAAGCTTGCTAGCTAAAACGCAATGTTACAGGTCTACAATGATTATATAACTGTATTATATATATCTATATATACATATATATGCATATACACAGATATATATACATACACACACGATGATTACATAATAGGCATGGTTTAGAGGTGGAAAGAGCACTGGATACAGACTCCAAACACCTAGGTTAGCTTTGCCTTTGGAAAAATGAGAAAATACCTCTCCTACATGTCTCTTTGTGTTAGGAAGGCTTGAATGAGACCCCACATGTGAAAATATCTTGTAAATGGTTAGGTTGTTTACAAATATTATGTTCTTAAACATGAAAATTAAAAATAAATGAAAAGTGCTACATTAGCCCCTTTTTATCAACACAAATGCTAAACATTTGTGTACTACATTGTTGTTCAAAATATATCGCTTAGACCAGCACCTGATTCATTCACAGCCCTCAAAAAATATTAGTTGAATAAATAAATAAACAGACAAATGAACAAATCAAAGTGATTTTTTAAAGAGGTACACATAAAATTATGGATAGCAATTTTTCTACACTCACCCTACACGTCATATTTTGTCAGCTGACACATATTTCAATGAACATCAATTATGTCTTAATAGTTGGTGTCAACTTTGTGGCACAAAATCTTCACAAATTGTCTTATGAGTTTTCTTTGAGGAAATAAAAAAAGCCTATAGTCACCTTGACAGTATCGGGTTAATGATTGCTGTGAGAACTTACTCTTAATGCATAATCATTTTTGCGCTATTTCTAGCACAGCCAAAACTTAATTTTCAATATTCTTCTCTGAATTGATTCTCCAAAAAAATACAGAAACGCCCTCTAAAATTGACCAGCTATTTCACCAAGAGGCAGTATACATCATGATTAATAAGCTGGCTTTTGGAATCAGAAAGAACTGTGTTCATTTTCTTACTATGTTATTTGACACAAATTAAGTTAACTAAGATACTATTTATTCATTTGTAAAATGGGGATAATATTTATACTGTTGGCTTTTTAACAAGAATCAAATGATGTTTTGGATATAACACTTAAAACAGTGACAGAACAATTAATAAATAGTTGGCAAATTATACCCATATGAAGAAAAACCTCAAGTCCACATATTCATCCATGATTTTCCTACTCTCGCTCATAGTTTTTCTTCCATTTCATCTCCTTAAATTATACTCCAGACTAAAATTTCATGAAGCTTTTCAACTCAGACCTACCAAGAATAGCCAGCACCATGCTGTCTTTAAGAACTTCCATGGAGCCCGAGCATACAAAGTAGATGGCCTGCAAAGCATCTCCTTGACGCAGAAGATACTCCCCCGGAGCACAGAAGGAGGTTTTGATGTGTAGAGACAGAGATCTGAGGCAGCCCCTGCTGGCACACTCAAAAAGGGACAACTGTAAGATTTCCTTGTTCAGGTGCATAGTGATGTCAGAACGCAGCTCATCTGGAAAGTCTTTCAAAAGCTGTCAAAGAAGATGAAAAAGGAAATCGAGATGGGCTAAGTCTAGTCTAATTGATTTACTTTGCAAGACAACAGAGATTTTTTTCCCACTGTTTGACCAATCGTAGAGCAGAAGAGGAAATATAAGCATGTATAATCCTAGAGAGATTTTTCAGTGACTGTGACAGCAGTTATGTGCTACTGAATAATCAGCTGATAATAAGTCTGGAGAAATAGAATAAATTAATAAAAGACTCAAGAATGAAAACATAAAGCTTCTTGTGACTTGCTTCTCGCAAAGACTCCTACTCAGGAGAGAAGATATGGAACATGGACCCTCTGGTGTTCCCTCTGGTGTCATGATCATATGAAGAGAGGGGAAACCAAATGATCACTTTAAAGATGTTTGGTTAGGGGATTGGTGAAATGGTTGCTTGATTTATATGATAGCTTTTTTACAGTGGTCTGGTGTTTCTGGAAGTCTACAGCTAACATCTTTGCTGAAAAACATTTTTTTTTTCCTTTGTTGGTTTTAAATGCAAACAACTTGATTAATATTCCAAGATTACACCACTCAACTGTCATAAGAATTAGTTCCTTCAAAGAGAGTCAATGAGAAAGAAAACAAGTCCACCTGATAGACTACAATAGCAAGTTAATGTAAAACATTGGCCAATCCAAAGTGGCACTGTGAAAACATAAGCCAAAGCAGATGAAAGAAGATGGACTGGGTTTCATGAGGGATCAAAAAGTAAAGAGATAAAGAAGTTGGTAGGTGTGTACTTCACTTCTGAGACTTGCATTAGAGCACCTTGCTTTTACCTTAGAATATGTGCTTTCTGCCTGAAAACATCAACACGAGAAATGAACATTACCTCATTTGAATCTATTCCATTGTTGACTGACCAGGTTGTTTGGAAATATTCGAGCATCCTCTGCTTCAGCTGCTGGGGCAGGTGATGGACACGTATGAAGTCCTTCAGATCCTTAGTTCTAGTGTGGTAGAGGGACCATCTGGAGTACATCCTCTGTATGATCGCCGTCACGTTTCCAAATACCAAGGCATGCATCAAGGCTGAAGGAACAACACAACATACAATGGGAGAGAAATATGACGGAGGGCTCACTCCTTAAGTCTAAATTTACAGTCTATCTACCCTGAGACAGAGCAGAGTAGGCTTATGTGGCCACGATGATACAGCTATTTGGGTATGAGCATTTTGGTGCAGCCCCTTTGTCACAGACCTGATGCAGTCATTTTGACTCCATATGGCCTGATCAGAGTAAAAATATCTTTTAAAAATACTCAATAATATACAAAATAGGCCCCTTTGACCCACAATTAATTTGTTAGCTGCCATTCTGGCTATGATAAACTTTTATTCTGCACTCTATTCATATCTGTATTATTTTAATAGCTAGGTATAATTTAATAGGTATGATGAAGTAGTTTTAATTATTTCATGGAATAAGCTATCAAGTTATAGTTTAATGGTTATTTTTATTATAATTACAAATATATTTAAAAAATAAGTCTATTATAACTGATCAGCCTTTATGGGAATATCAGTCTCTTCCCCAAAACCATCATTTAAAATTAGTTATAGGGTATTAAACATGGCATATTTATATTAAGAAAAGTACTGATCAACTTGTTAGAAATGTAACTGAAGGTTTGCTGAGCAATTTGAAGCTGAGATTAATATGGCTTCAACCCCCAACCTCATCCCAGCTCCACAGTCACTTTACTTTTAAGGGAGATATCAGAATATTTGAGACCGTTCAAGAAACAAACGAATTCACAGAGAAAAACAAGTATTCTGCTTAGAGTTTTCATTGCCCTCCTGAGAAGAGGGTGGTAAACACATATGAGACTTTTGTTCTGTTGAAGTTTCTCGCTCAGATAGTATTTAATCCCCACTTTCTTGCTGAGCCTTCCCTTCCGAAACCACCACTGGAGTGTAATGAGATAGATTTTGCTCACCAGAATTTGACAGTGGGTAGGGATTCAGGATGGGTTTTACACTGGAAAAAGCGAGTGAATGGACTTCACTTTCCAGGGGTTGCCCACTGTTGGGGGTGGTCAGGTATCTTGAAGTCAGAAAAGGGTGACAAGATTTTGCACTAAATAGTCATCAGCCAAACAGAACTGGAATGGCTCATGTGGACATCAGCAGATAGGCCAAGAGGGCCGTGGACCCACCTGGGGCTGTGAAACTGGGAGAGAGATGAGAGCCAGGTGTACTTACATTGATAGGAAATCAACTCTTAGGGATATTCAGATTTCAGCCCTGATCCCCATCCTGGGAAGGGATTGGCAATAAGCCCAGGTGTTGAAATCATCTGTTTCAGCAGTTTTTGGTTAAAAAAAAAAAACAAGAGACTAAAAATTTAGTAGTTTGTCTATTAGGATCTATCAAAATGTCCCTGTACCAAAATCTCACTGTCCAAGGAATTATGTTAAAAGTTTCTTAGCACCAAAATGGATAAATTAGTGCAAATGTGTCAACATGTTGTTACATCTATCCTCCTGAATGTTTCAGGATAGCCCCAATTCAAATTCCATTTTTCCCCCAACATTTCCCCCACCATTTCCCCCAAATTATTAACCACTGGCATACTAATTTCAATCTAATATAACATGGGAATTAAAATTTTTTATCAGGTTATATATCATCACTTATCTATGGAAAATATGGCCACCATGCCTCTAAAGTCACCCCATAATAACAATAAAGGCCTCAATATTTTGGAGAAGTTACTAGAATAGGGTTAAACTTAGAGTCTATATACAGGAGGCAATATAATGTTGTGGACAGAATATGGACTTCAGAATCAGACGTGTCTGGATTTTAATCCTGGCTCTACCACCTCTTAATTGTTGTAAACTAGGCAAGATATTTAATTCCCTTGCATGGACTCTGTTCCCTTATATGTGAATTGACATAATAGTACCTTACTAATAGGGCTATTTCAAGATTTAAAGAGTTAATATATTTTTTTAAAAGTGTCTAGTATATGTATGAAAAACAGTGAGTGCTCAATTTATGTTAATTTTTCCTATGAAAGTGAAAAGTGTTATGAATTTTCAGCATGCTCAGTGGAGAAAAATTTGGGGAAAAGGATGCAGATTTAAGGTTTTCCAGAAACCTCTTAAACAATTAAAAGTGGTTCTTGGTGGATATAACTTTTTGATGACAGAAATTCAAGAAATAGGCAATAAGTGCCTGCTACACTCAAGTACGTGTAAGTATATATTCTTCATAAATATTCAAAAATGAAATGTCTTTCAACAGGTCAAAAATATCCCAAGAAAAATGAATATTGCTTAACAACTTACTGTTGAATGGTTCTTGGTAGATTCTAAATAGAGGTTTGATCTTCTGTATGGTTTTAGAAGCATGACAATTCTGGTGCTTAAATATTTTATTTGGAAGAGGAGATCTCTATTTATGATAAACACTCAGCAAGCAAAAAAACTGATTCTGCTCCAAGTCAAAGAAATTAAACACCGATTTCAGGCTCTGTTAATATACTCAGTGTTTGGAAGTCCTACCATCTGTAAAAGTATGTAATAGTCTTTTATGGAGATTAAATTGAGTACCGAGAACAATTTTATTTCATTTATTTTAACACTGCTTTCCTTAATTATGTGTATGATTTTAACTTTGCTTTGCTTAATTATAATGTGTGTAAAGTACTTAAAGTAAGAGAAGTAATATGTTCAGATCATTTAGCATCTTAATTGTACATTATCAATAAAATGAATTACTGGATTAATTGTAGCATTCATAATTGTTGGAAAGTACTAGTCTATGTCTGAGTCACCATAATTTCAAAGTCTCATTTCAGCATAGGAAAATACTTCTAATTTAAGTAGTTACAAAAATTAAACCCTAGCTCTCCTAGTGTTTCACTTCCCAAAGTTATTGCCTCTCTGTCACTGGTTATCATTTTCACACTGGTAAAGGGTATCTGTAACTGTCAGGCCAAATCAGTCCATCTGCTATGAAAGTTTCACTCAAGAACTTCTATATCCAGGTCAGTTTGGAAATTACCATTCACTTTTCCTTTCACCTCTAGCAAATTTGATGTACATAATTCTTAAAGTAGCATGCCAGGCCTGCTGCTGAGTGTGTGGGAGGCTCTTTTTTTGTGTGTAGGACTTTCATATAAAATGCATTTTGTAAAATCTCATCTTGTTATCAGGCCTTTGGAGGAACCTCAACAATTGGAATCTAAGAAGAAAGTAAATAGATCTCTCTCTCTCACTCCCTTCACAACACTTTTCTTTCTGGATTTTGAGTAACAGTGCTCTCTCCTGAGGTACAACATCATTGCTGATTTCTTTAGCCAACTACTTTGCAGTTCCTTTGGAGTCTACATGGGGACTGTTTTCTCCTGATATAAAAGGAGGCCAGAGCTCAGGCAATGGGTAATCTTAGCTGATCTCCTCTCTCTCCCACCTACTCATTGCCCTGGAATTTTCCACTCCGTGCTACAAGAACACTGGGTTGTGGATGGCAGATGGTTGAGAAAACAGAGAGTGAGAACAATTTCCTAAATGATGAATTTAAATGGCAATATAAAGGCATCTTAAAAACAGCCTGAATTTGTGAACACCATAGCTCATATGGGTTCAATAAAATTATGTCAGGATGTTTGGGAAGAGAGGACCCAAGGAAAGCCTTGACTGTTGAGTTTCTCTTTACCTTTTTCATGTAAACAGTGCCTCACATAAACTGGACATGTCCTCTGTGATGAGTCATCTTCACTAGAAGTTGTATCTACCCTCTGAGGCTGAGTTGATGGCCTCATCAATGGGGTCTAACTCATTAGGTGACTCTACTAAGTGTGATAGAAGAACTTTTAAAGACATGGGAAAATGTTCTCAATATATTTTATTTGGTGGCAAAAATGATATGTGTAGTTGATACAAATATTTCAGATAATAGGGGTATATAATTATAAAAAGACTGAAAAGATTATCTTTTGCTGATAGGATTATATGTAATTTTATTTTTGGTGTGGATTTTCCAGTCTTTTATAAATGTGCACTATAATAGGAAAAATGAAAATGGAAAAAGAAAGAATATCATCTGCCTAAGTACCTATTTCCATTACCAAACTGTGAACTCCTGGAAGGAAAGTATCATGTCTTAGTCATCTTTGTTTCCCCAGCATCTAGCACAGTGCCTGGCATAATTTAAGTGTGCCATAAATATTTATGAAACTGAAATGAACCTCTGATGGTTTAATACTTTCTTTAAAAAGTTTTAGGGCCGGCCCTGTGGCTTGGTGGTTAAGTGCGCGCGCTGCGATGCTGGTGGCCCGGGTTCGGATCCCGGGTGCCCATCGAGGCACCACTTCTCCGTTCATCCTGGGGCCGAGTCCCACATACAGCAACTAGAAGGATGTGCAGCTACGACATACAACTATCCACTGGGGCTTTGGGGGGAAAAATAAAATAAATAAAATCTTTAAAAAAAAAAAAAAAAGTTTTATAATCATAAGCAAGTAGCTTAGAAAATTTATGATGAACAGTTCAGCCCCAAACCCATCGCTTCACCTCCATACCACTCTCCAAAGGTAATCTTTTACAATTATCTCAGCTCACTGCTACCCACCTTCTCATTCCACATTTGTTAGTTATATTATCATTTTTAGCTCAGCTATTATACTTGTACAAGGTATTAATATCAAAGACACACATTGAGAAAATTACACAAATATTAAATGTATGGTTCACGGAGATTTCTCAAAAGTGAATAAACCAATGGAATCACTGCCCGTATGGATAAGCAGAATATTATCAGCACCCCAGGTCTTCTCTTCTGTCCCCTTCATAGTCACTAACCAGTCCCCTCACCAAAGGCAACCACAGTTATGAATTATATTGCAATCAATAAGCTTTGCCTACTTTTGAACTACAAAATCATACAATATGTACTTTTTTGTGTCTGGCTTCTCTGCTCAGCATTGAATTTGTAAGATTCATTCAGATGGTTGCATGATGTAATAGTTCATTCATTCTCATTACTGTATAGTACTCTATTGAATAATCATTTCCTAATTTACTTATTTATTCTCCTATTAATGGGCATTTCCAGTTTGAGATTCTTACAATAATGCTTCTACAAGCATCTATGTATGTGCGTTTTGATGTATGTACGTATGCATTTCCATTGGATATACACTCAGAAGTAGAATCGTTGAGTCACAGAGTACAGGTCTGTTCAGATTTGGTAGATATTGACAAAATTGTTGCACTAATTGACACTTCCATCAACAATATAGGAGAAGTCAAGATGTTCCATATCCTGTCAAACTCTTAGGGTAGTCATTGCTTTTACATATAGCATTCTGGTGAATGTAAATACTACCTAATTTTGATCTTAATTTGCATGTCCTTGATGAATGATGGTGAGTACCTATTTATATGTTTATTGTCTATTCAAGTATGGAAATGTATTTTTGAAGTGCTTTTTAAAGCTTTTACACATTTTTGGGTTGTCTGCTCTTTTCTTATTGATTTATAAAAGTTCTTTACATATGATAGAAAATGTCTTTTATCAGATAAATGTTTGCAAATGTCTTCTCCTATTCTGTGGCTTGCCTCTTCACACTCTTAAGAATGTCTTTTGAAAAATAGAAGTTTTGCAGTTCAATTTATCAATCTTTCCTTTATGGTTAGGGCTTTTTGTGTCATTTTGAAGAAACCTTAGCCAAATCAAAGGTCATGAAAATATTCTCTTATATTACCTTTTAGGAGCTTTATTGTTTTCTCTTTCACATTTAGATCAAAATCCATCTGGAATTAATTTTAATGTGAAGTTTTTTGTTTTTTATTTTTTTGTGAGAAAGATTGGCTCTGAGCTAACATCTGTTGCCAATCTTCCTCTATTTTGTATGTGGGATGCTGCTACAGCATGGTTTGATGAGTGGTGTATAGGTCCGTGTCTGGGATCTGAACCCGTGAACCCCAGGCTGCCAAAGCAGAGCATGTGACCTTAACCACTATGGCACTGGGCCGGCCCCTAATGTACAGTTTTAAGAGGAGTCAAGTTTGTTTTTCAACATGTGGATATACATTTGACCCAGCAACATTTATGGAAAGTATCATCATTTCCCCCTTTGCATGGCAGTGTCACTTACGTCATAAGTAAAGTGAGCACATGTGTGCAGGCCTGTTTCTGCCCTCTCCTGTATTCCATTGGCCTATTTGTCTATTCCTGAACCAACACTATACTTTCTTAATTACTGTAACTTTATAACACACCTTGATATCTTTAGCACAAATCTTCCTATTCCGTTCTTCTTTATGATTGCTTGGACTAGTGTTAGCTCTGTATTTTCGCTAAGTTTTAGAAACAGCTTGCTGTTTTCCAAACAAGCACGTATCTCCTGGGATTTTTATTGAGATTGCACTGACTCTTTAGATTAATTTGGGTAAAACTGGTATCTTTAAAATATTGAGTCTTAAAACCATCACCATTTTATATCCTTCCAATTTTAAACCATTTGTAAATTTTCTCACTAATGTTTTGTAATTCTCTCTGTAGTGGTATTGCACATTTTTAAAGATTTTTTCCTATATATTTGATGTTTTTATAATCATTTTTCATATTTCATTTTCTAATTGTTTGTTTCTAGTATATATAAATACAATTGATTTTTGCATATTCACCTTGTATCTATCAGCCTTACTAAATTCACTTATTAATTCTAAGAGTTGTCTAAAGCTTTTAGGGTTACGTTTTTGTTTTGGGTGTTCTCAAAGTTCACATAGATTTGTGTAGATATGGATCTTTTTCTCATTATTTTTGCTTAATCTCTTTGATAGCTTTAAATATTCTCCTCATAAGTCAGTATTTTGCACACCCTATAACTACAGAGGCTGAGACGGAAGCCTCCCCTTCCTCCTTCCTCCTCACACAGCCTGCGAGTGCCTCTGCCCTAGAGAATTATCTGGGGTTTTGGTAGTCACTTGCAACCTTTAATTTTGCTTCCGCCTGCTTTTGTAGTAAATATTGCACCCCTGTCATTAGCAATTTCATCAGCCTTATCTGGGGATTCCCAATAAAATGCCTTAGACTTGAGTCCATGGTAATATATATTTAGAGTTTTTAAAATATAATTATTTGTGTATATTTATAGAAATTAAGTGAATAAAATCAATTTACAGTGTATAATGAAATGGATATTTTATAAGAAGTTTGCTAGTCTTAGTGAATCCTGACATCCAACTCACTCGATCTCTGCTGCCTTATGTCTACATTGGGGTGTTAATAACCTCTATCTCTTAGTCTTATGAGAATTAAATGAACAAAGTGTTCAATATTGTGACCTCTTATGATTCGTTCTCAAAGTTATGCAAGTAATTAGTTAATTAGGAAATATTAAAATGAAGGCATCATTTCTCCTAGCTTAGAGTAATTCTCACAATCATACAGAGTTATTTCCCACAAACACCAATTTGGGAAGCTGTAACTAATAAATTCAAGTTACTTAGATGTCATTTGGCATTCAAAACCAATGGTTTCCTGAGTGCTGCTCAAGTCATCTAAATGCTTTAATGCCACCTACAAATGAGCACTGGTTTTGCACTAGGATAATTTGCTCAATAAATATTTAACAAGTGACAAAGTGACATTACCTGATTATTTCTCATATCTTTTGGCCTTGTGACCACTATTGCTTCTACTTACAGTGAACAGCAGAAAATCATTTATGCCTTAACAATTTCTGATTCAGGACCACTCACAATATAGTCAGTGCACCAATAGAGAATAAACTCAATTATCTAAGATTCTTCAAATGTCAAATTAGTAGGTTAAGCCTTGAGCATTTGAGCATTTCCCAAAATTTCCATTAGGACTAGAAGAAACATGGGAAAATATTAAATAAATATAGACTATGTTTATTTGCAAAATGCTTGTCATTTTGCTAGGCTGAAAGATGGGCAATCAAAGAGAGCGGCAATTATGTAAGTCATAATATTGGGTATAAAACAGCCACCACGGGATCTGGCACATTGTAGCTCTTCAGAAAATGAAAATGCCTGTTCTTTGCTCCCTAGGCTGTTACTGCTCCACATCAGCCAAGAGCCTGTTCAAATTGCTGCAGTCCCAGCGTGCTACTTCAGTAACTCTGCCACAAGTACTGCCTCTCCAAGAAATTCTCTGGGTTCCTGGCCCTCGTTTCTCACTGCTTTGGAACTTCCTGACTTATTTGACTCTTAGCATTTAATGCTTTGTATTCTTAAAACTCTTTCCATGTATTTCAGCCTATCTTCCAAACTGGATCATAAGCTCCTTGAGGGCAGGTTTGGCTTTAAACTTCTTTGATTTCACCATTGGCCTGATGACTCATTACCTAAAGCCCCAAATACTCATTTCACATCTCCCAAGCAAGGAATCTGGTAGAAACCATCCCATATTTTAAGGTTCAAAACTCTAAGTGATATTTAAGATTAAGGCCTTTAAGAGAACATGATAAAACAGGCTTTTGGGGGGAATACTGTGGGGCAGAAAATACTAACAGAACCCTCATTTAAGAACTCTGGTCTAACATAAATGCTTACTTGATCCAGGCAGACATCCACGTGTACTATTACTCCATGATAGCAGTCTTATAATTCAATAAGTTTCCATTTACATATTTAAAGATAGAAGTAAGTATTCACTTGGGTTCGAACCTTGCTTCTTTTACTTACTGGTTGTATGGTATTGGGAAAGTTATTTTATTTCTCCAAGCTTTAGATTTGTCATTTGAAAAATGTGGATAATAATAGTATCAATCCTGTATAAGTTAGGACGTTCAGAAAAGAGAAATTAAATATTTCAACAAAGGGAATTTACTATAGGGAAATGGTTTCCCTGGTGTTGGAAAGCTGAATGAGCAAACAGAAAGTATAGAGGTAACATGGATATAATAACTTGCAGGGAGGAGATTCTGCCCTTAGAGAGGATAAACAAAGGGAAGAAGTGGGGTTATCAGAACACAGAAGCCCAGAGGAGGAGCTGAGAGGAGCCACAAGGGACCAGCTCTGACTTTGGATGTGACGGCACTCCCAGCTCATGCACAGATCTCCAAGAAGGCCCAATGAGGCTGGTTCTGGGAGTGCCTGAAGATGCTGAAGGCTTCAACCACTTGCTGCTGCCGGAAGTAGCCTGCCGCTTAAGGTACATCATACACATTGGAAGCAGGCAGTCCCTTCTCCACGCCTCCTGCCTGCTAGTTTCCCTCTGGTGCCCCCTATTGGCAGAAGTAACTGAAGCCGACTAGTAAAGAAGGAGGTTTGCAGAGTCCACACTCCAGCATTACAAAAGCATAGTGAGGAAGGTGAGTTTGGAACTCAGAGACAATAGTCGAATAATTTGTCTATTTGTTAAATGGGATAACGATAATGCCGAACCCATAGATTTGCCTTATGGAATTACTTAGAGTATTGTGTTGAAGCATTTGGCACAGAGAATGGAAGATAAAAGCGATTAATAAATGTTAACTATTTATTATTATTGTATTGGTGTTTTTTGGTTTTGTTTTTATTTTTAACTAAGTGATCTATCAGACATCCTTAACTTACGACATTAGTATCAATAAAATTTGATAACACTGACCTCTTTGGGACTATAAAATGGAGTTTCAACCATATACTGCAATTCCTCCTCATGTAACTCACAAACACTGGGGGTAAATACCATGTTGAGAATACAAAGTGCCTGCCCTTTCAAAATCAACCATCAGGTAAACAGTTACTTCTTCATCTGTCCAGAAAATGCAATTCTTTGACATCACAGACTTTCATTGCTAATCTGTATATTAAAATGTTTGTCACTGATTTCCTAATCAGTGCTTTTTAGAGTCTTCCAATATATTTTCATTGTGTTTTAGGACAGAGCAAACAGAACAGCAACACAGGGCAGACACTTGTTCCTTCCTTTGGTATAACAGAAGAATTTCCCTTACCACCAATCAGCATGGTGCAGATGGAGAAGATCTTTTCTGCATCTGTATTAGCAGAGACGTTCCCAAACCCAACACTGGTGAGGCTGCTGAGGGTGAAGTACAGAGCAGCAATATAGGCACTCCGGATCGACGGGCCCCCCAAAGAATTGTTGCCATAGTATGGAGACTCCAGTCTCTTTCCCAACTCATGGAGCCAACCTGCAATGGAAGAAAGAGTGAGAATTTAAGCCCAAAAAGTAAAGTCCCAGCATTAGCACATGGGGATAATGATAAACAAACATACTAATTTGCTCAGGAGAAAGGAGAGAAACTTAAAAGGAAGTTAAAGGCAAGGAATTAGATTCCATTGCTATAAAAGCAAAAACATCACTTTCATGCAAGCCATTCCATGTAATACACACGTGTATTACACACGAGTGTAATGCACTCGAGAAAGGATTGGGGGTCAAAGCTCAACAGGTCACCCGAATGCAAGCAGCTGCCTTCAGAGATGGAGACCTGGAGTGCTACTCTCAGTAACGGTGTTGTGTATTTCGTTAAGGTTAAGCTCATTTCTCAATTGGAATTTTAAGAAATTAACAGGGTCGAGTACGTATTTTTAAGACCTGCGTGATGATGAATAGCAACAACCACAAGAATCTAGACTTCAGCAGGTGACGTGGGCTTTATTTCTATCCTGTACAACCTTTTCCCATTTTATTCACTTGGGCTGATATCTAGTTGCCTTACAAGTCTTATCTCATGTGACCTTCTTCAGGAAGCCTTCTCTGCAACCTCATTCTGCCATTTAGGAGTGGAGGGGGAAAACTGTATAACTAAGAAGTACCTATAATAGAATCGGATGCCCTGCTACAACTGTTTTATGATACTGGCGTATATATGTGTCAAAACTTATCAAATTAAATGCTTTAAATATGTGCAGTTTCTTGTATGTCAATTATACTGTCATAAACTGTTAAAAAGCTATATTAATAAAGATAGGAAATAGCAAGTATAATATTAAAAATAATAGAATGGAAACAGAACACAAAGACCACTTTAAATTCCTTTATTGGAAATATTTACCCCTTAAGATTTTATATTTTAAAATTCTTTCCCTCTGTGTGTGTGTGTGTGTGTGTGTGTTACAAAACACTATAACAATTCAGCTCAACCCGTAAGGTTCATAAGACTTTTGCTAAGGGATGTTATTCCATTCCTACTGATGACCACTTGCTTATAAATACTTCATTTAATGGCTGCCCAAGAAGAGATGAAAAGTATTACACTTTTTAAGTAGTAATAATGTTGTCATTATCAACTAAAGTTATAAATGATGGAACTGTGCTAGGTTATTAAAATGCAAATTTGAAACCACTGGGAATTTCTTGAGACCAAGGAGAAATGCTTAGCGGCAAGTACCATACCTTATTCAACCTGTGTCTCTAAGGAAGTGTTTCTCAACCTTTAGCCTGCCTCAGAAAATATCAAGAAGGCTTGTTAAACAGAGATAGCCAGGTCCTATCCCTGGAGTTTCTGGTACAGTACACGAGGAGGCTGGGGTAAAGGCTGAGAATTTGCCTTTGTAATGGATTCCCACCTGATGCTGATGTTGCAGATCAAGGGGACCACACCTTGAAAAACCACTGCTCTAGAACAATGGTTCTCAATGCTGGTTGCAGCTGGGGAAGTTTTTTAAAAAATAAACTGCCCAAATGCCACCTCCATTTACTGAATCAAAATTCCTGGTGCCAAGCCCTGGTGTTGGTATTTTTTAAAAGTTCCCCAATAGAATCTAATGTGAAGATAAAACTTAGAACACTATTCTAGAACTTAGTAAAGCAACTGACAATAGTAGGATTTAATAAATGTTATTTTAAAAACTGAATGAATTAATGAATGTATAAATGGTTCTTGCCTTCTGTGATAGTATGAGATAATATGACAACATTGATACAATATAGCAACAAGTGCATTTGTAAATTTGTACTAGATTTATGCACAAAGTGTAATGAACATAGTGGTTTTTTTGTGTATGTGAGGAAGATCAGCCCTGAGCTAACATCCATGCTAATCCTCCTCTTTTTTTTTGCTGAGGAAGACTGGCTCTGAGCTAACATCTATTGCCAATCCGCCTCCTTTTTTTCCCCAAAGCCCCAGTAGATAGTTGTATGTCATAGTTGCACATCCTTCTAGTTGCTCTATGTGGGACGCCGCCTCAGCATGGCCGGAGAAGCGGTGCGTCCGTGCCCGCCCGGGATCCAAACCCGGGCCACCAGTAGCGGAACGCGTGCACTTAACCTCTAAGCCACGGGGCCGGCCCTGAACATAGTTTTTGCTGATAGAGAATAATAATAAAATGTAAGTTACAAGTTGTAAAAGGTGATGCCATTAGTAAGCTATGGCCGTTTACTCTGTAAAGGCTTCACGAAGGGATAAACTCTAGTTTCAAACACAGATTTAAATCTGAACTCTTCCATTTACAGGCAGCAGGAATGGCTAACTTCTTCGAGCTTCATGTTTCTCATTTGTGAAAATAGGGATACTATCTAATTTGTAGGGCTGCCGTGGGATTAAACAAGATGCCACATGAAGAAAATGCCAACCACTGTTACTCATAGAAGTTTAGTACCTAATATCTCTTTTCTCTCTCTTTCTTCTGTTACTTAAATTGGAACAGAGAAAGCACAAAATTCAGAAAGGTAAGAGAAAATAAGAGACCAGCAGTGAACTATAACAGAAAAGGAAGGCGGTGACTAAACACATTCGGTAGAACCCAGGGGTAGCATGTGATAAAATTTAGTATTTCCGAACTAATAGAAATGACAGGGAGGGGCTGGCCCCGTGGCTTAGCGGTTAAGTGCGCGTGCTCCGCTGCTGGCGGCCCGGGGTTCAGATTCCGGGTGCGCACCGACGCACTGCTTGTCAGGCCATGCTGCCGCAGCCTTCCATATAAAGTGGAGGAAGACCGGCACGGATGTTAGCTCAGGGCCAGTCTTCCTCAGCAAAAAGAGGAGGATTGGCATGGATGTTAGCTCAGGGCTGATCTTCCTCACAAAAAAAAAAAAAAAAAAAGAAATGACAGGGAGAAAATCCAGGTACAGTAGTTCTTAAAATTTGGGGAGTTATATACCCATTTGTAAATCTAAAGAAAGACGTGGTCCTTTTCTCAGAACGAGTACATGTGGAAACACACGCACGATTCTGTATATATTTTCAGGTGGTTCATGGCCTCCTGAAGCCCTTTCATACATGTCTGCTCCAAAGACCCAGATCAAAAAGCTCTGCTCTAGAATTACAAGTGAACGGAAAGAGGAACAGATAAAGCTTGCTTTGGTAAAACTTACTTTAATCCTGTATGGAAAAAGATTTAGAAATAAAGACATTTTATCCAAGATTAATTAAAGAGATATCACAAAAGCAACACAAGTAGGCACTTAAAAAATATTTATATGTGTGTGTGCTTATATGCACTGTAGGGAGAGGCAAGGCACAGAGGTAAAATCAGGAAGCAGAGATGACATCTGAACATATCATTATGCTCAGGATGTCCCTTTCTGCAGAGCAGTGCTCTTGTAGGCATTTGACCCTACAAGTGTTGTCAAGTACACACAACCACAGGATGTTGAATGGCTGGTGGGTTGGCTATTTCTCATGTGTCTTCTAAGTTGTGCTCTGAAAGGGACGTCATATCATTTCTACTTGACAAAGAAGTGATTACAGGGGCTTGTTCCTTTGTTCCATATTGGTCTTTCCTGCTAATTATTGGGAAGTCTGAGCAGCTGAAAAATGTCATTTTGCCCAGAGAGTAAATACTGCACGACCTAATTTTTGTTTTAGTTGATGCACAGAGGAAACAAAACACAGTAAAGCCACTGCTTTGTCTCGGCTGAATCAGCTATACAATCAACTGTGAATAAACGACTGGATCAATGAACTGATCTTGAATTGAATTAAAGTCTTCATTTACTTAGGGGACCTAAGTTCTTTCATTAAAAAAAAGCAAACAAATCCAGCCAATACACTAGGTTGAACTCCTTAATTGGCACAAAAGTGAAACATTTAAGAAATCTCAGAACAAAATCAGTTTTCATATAATTTGATTTCCTTAATAAAATAGGATAAAAGTTTGTGTTAGGACATACAGATTATGTTAGATTCTCTTCTCACTCAATGCCGGTTCGTTTACATATGTGTGAAACTGTGTGTGTCAGAAATGATTCAGGGAGCGAAACACAGACGAACAACAGACCTACTTTTGTTGCTATCTCTTTTCTGTCTAGCCAACTGTTCTATTTTCAGAAACATCTTGTTTTTTAAGAAGGGTGGCTACTAAACTGTGTTACAGCTGACAGAGCAGAAGCAATGAAGATGATGGAAAAACCTGGTAATACAGAAAGAAGGTAACACCCACAAATCCGGGGATTGGCTCTGTGGGCTAAATAAGACTTTTTCACAGAACAGCTTGTCCAAAAAGAGAGCACATATTCCACTGTTACAAAACAACATGTCACTGTGCTGTACAGAAGAAGCAATTTCACCAGTTTGGAAGCCAATCTTTTTTTTATGCCGGAGAAACTCATCTCTAAAGGAAGGGATGTCCTAGAACAGTCTGTCTGCTTCTGCTCAAAATTGTTTTTTCTAAAGAACATTTTGAAGGAAAAAGCATTCACAACATAAAGTAGGAGCTAAATATACTGAATATACTGCCATCTGATACAAACAAGGGATATAAAATAATCCTATCATTACTAAAATAGATTAGATGAATAAAATAGAGTAGATTTGTGAAATAAATATCAATTTCAAAGATAGAATTACTTTTAATGGTTATGCCTAGAAGAGCCTATAATTTAGCACGATGATTCAATCCATGTATTTTTCATTGCATATTTACTGTGGGCCCGGTATTTTGCTTAATTACATACTTTTAACTCTAAACAGAGTTTCTTATCATGTTACTCTTTAGGTTCCCTACAACAATATACTCACTTTTACTGTGCATGTGTGTGCATTCACAGTTGGTACAGATGTGACCTGCTTTATATAACAGCTGTGTTCTTTTTTTTTTTTTTTTTGCTGAGGAAGATTGGCCCTGAGCTAACATCCGTGCCAATCTTCCTCTATTTTGTATGTGGGTCACCACCTTAGCATGGCTGATGAGTGGTGTAAGTCTTTGCCCAGGATCCGAATCCACAAACCTGGGCCACCAAAGCAGA